TGTCTGCAGCAGACTGATGACAGAAGAGTGGGGGGACCCCCAAAACCACGGTGGGGAGGTTGGGCAGAGGGACAAGCAGGTTGTTACAAGTGAACAGGGCTTGTAACAGGTGGCTTGTACAAAATCAGCGCGAGCTCCCCGACTCTACATTGAGGGCCTGTTCACACGACGTCCGTTTTGTGTGCTGACCTGATCCGTACGCTCCTGCACTCAAAATGCATCCCAATGTATCCCTATGTGTTTTATGGGCTACAGTTCTCACGTGCGCAGTCCGTTCAGGTTACGACAGAAAAAATACTGCATGTCACATTTTGTCCGGTCCGGAAACGCACGAACGCGGCGAAAATGGAACGCAATGCAGCTAGGCAAAAAAAAAAATAGTATTCTTGCTCCACTTTTTATGATGTCATACGACATACGAGTAAAGGAAAAAAAATGTATCCGGGTGAGCTCGCAAATCCTCATATAAACTCCAGAACTGACCCCGGGAGTCCCGGAGCCTCAGCATCGGGTGTACCCAATCACCACGTCTCCCGCGGGCTCGTTCTCTGCAGATTGCTGTAGCCAGCACCATCAACATGCCTGCAAACATGTGATACATGTCTGATCACCAGCTTTACATACACCAAGGGAAGTAGAAGTCACGAGAGGGCGGAAGTGACCTCAGAGGAAGAATCTGCATACTGACAGCCCCACGGCTAAAAAAAAAAAAATGAACTGTCAGCAACCGGACCGAAAACGCGTTCGCCTGGCGCCCAGAACTGCATGTCCCGGGTGTCGGGCGATACGATTCGCACATCCCTGAAAGTCAAAAAAGCTATTGGCCTCTTGTGAGTTCATACAGGTGCCCATTAGGACTAAGGTGGATGATGATTTGGGGGGGTATGGGAACATATTGGGGGTCTAGTCATGTAAAACGGTCTCCTGAATTATTGTCACCATTGTAGAAACATTGTAACAATCATTTAAAGGTAACAAAGCCGATCGCAGTGCTGAATATGCAGTTCCAGTGCCCGGTACATAGAGCTCTGTCCCCATCTAGTGGCCGGCACAGGAATCGCAGGCCTACAATGGGGATTCCAGGCCCTTGGCTGCACCGAGGTGGGGCCCCCGAACAGTCAGGATTTCCACACGGCGCGGCTTCCAACTACAACAATAAAAGTGCAGGTGGGGGCCTGGGTGTCAGCACTATCAACACACTGAGTCAGATGAACGGGGAGAGGACGAATTGTCAGAGGAAGTTGAACAGGCTCCTCGTGAATGTCGACAATTGGCCGCACACCATCGGCGGACAATCTCGCCGAGCTTCGTAAACCTTTCCCCGGCGCTAAAGTAAAAAGTTCACAAACTCCAGAGCGCTGCGCACAGCTGCGGTTAAAGGGAAAGCATCGTCTATATTCAGTGAACTTTATTTTTTGCCGCAATCTTTACCCGAGAGTCATTTGTGACCCATTTTTACATTCTTGCGCTTCCATGTTTGTTTTCTATGATATTAAATATTAAGATTTTCAGATTAGCCACTAGAGGGAGCTCCAGCAACCCACGGCAATGGTTTGCACTCTTTCTTCAATTAAAAAATAATAATAAGTGCGCACCAGGGGCATAGCGTGGGGGGGCCGCGGGGGCGATTGCCCCAGGCGCCACATTTACTGGTGCTGCGGGCAGGGCTGTTCAGTGCTGTGTGTCTGCCTGGACAGTCCGAGTCATAACGTACAATGGGGGACCAACAGTGCGTCGCTGGGTGGTGAAGCGCTGCACAGAGTGGCCGCTGGGTGGTGCAGCAGGATGCCCCATTTCTCCATAAACAGAGTGTGTGCACCTGGGAATGTCTTCCCCCAGAAGTACGGCAGCTTGGACAGCAACAGTGAAGAGGAAGAGGAGGATGGGGAGGAGAGGCTGCAAGAGGTGAAGTGGCCGAGCTCTGCAGGGTATGTGATGATTGGCTGCTTAGGTGCCCTGCTCAACATGGAGGGGAAGTGCGCCCCCGGCCCTGTGTAAGCTCTGACTGGGATCGACTTTCACAACGATCCTGCCCTGAAGGTCTTTATTCAGCCACTTCCTGTTAGAAGGTGACAACACTGCCCCTTTCTCTAATTATGCTCCTATGTTGTCACCCCGTCACATGGCCCACCGGTGCAGGATACTGTACTGATATACATTGCCCAGACACCGTTGTCACTCGAGAGCAGGGGTAGCCAAACTCCGGCCCTCCAGCTGCGGTGAAACCACAAATCCCATGATGCATCTCTCTCCAGGAGTCATGCCTGTGGCTGTGAGAATCATGCAATGCCTCATGGGATTTGTAGTTTCACCACAGCTGGAGGAACAGAGTTTGGCTACCCCTGCTCTCGAGGGTAAGTTCGCTTTCCTAGATGAACTTGGAAAAAAGGAATTTCCCCCTCAAATCTATCCCCCTCTTTCTCCCCCACCCACCCCAATATACTTACCTTTCGGCGAATGCCCCTTCCCCCCTCCGCCAGTACGGGTGTACTATCTGTATGTGCCCTGTACCGCCACAAATGGATTTTGAATTTCGCTTGCAAATGGCAGCACAGTCACCTGACCACTCTGACCAATGAGAAGCGCTTTTTTGCAAGAAGAGTTTTTCATTGGTCAGAATCACTTCTCATTGGTCAACACGGTCACATGAGTGCTTGGCATTTGCAAAATCCACATAAGGCTGCCTTATACAGCAGCTTGGGGTATGGATAGTAAACCCGCCAAGACAGAGGGAAACGAGGTAGGTATAGCGGGGAGAGTGGGGTAGTGAGTTTAGTTGGGGGGATGAGGGGGCCAGAGCAGGTAATTCCATTTTCCCAAATTCACCTGAGAGAAAAGTGTACCGCCCCTTTAAAGGAGAACAATGGGGTCAGTGTTTTTCCCCCTAGTTCTCCTTAGGGTAACGGGAGGACACAAACTAGCGTCCTCCCATCACCCTAGGCTCAGTATATAGGGAGCTACAGCTTGCGGTATACTGAGACGCCGCAGCTGAAGCGGATCCCGACAATTATGTCTGGATCCGCCCGGCTGCGTGACTGACAGCTGGCTCTGCCTATCTAGAGGCAGAGCAAGCTGTACCCGCCCCCTCCCCCGTCCGTTCCGCCAGTCAGCGCTGGCGGATCGGGGAGGGGGGAATCCAGCCAATCCCCTGTCACGGCAGAGAGCTGTGACAGGATCGAGAGGTGAGCGAACGCCGGTATGTGTTCCCTCACCTCCCGATCTACTGAGCCGACCTGTGACAGTCTCATTGTCACAGGTCGGCTAGAACTATGAGGTGAGTGAAAAGCCCCTCCCCCCCCTCCCCTCATAGTTCTCCTAGGAACTCCTAGGAGGCTGGTGCAGAGCAATCATGGGCAGTCAATGTCAGAGCGAATGTATGTAGACAGGAAGTGGCTGGAGGAGGTCGGCAGCACTGAGAAGGGGAAAAAATTATTTAAAAAAGGTAAAAACAGGATTTTTTTTTTTTTTAGAGTCAATTTAGTTTGTTGTGAAATGGTCAACAAGCACTTCTACCCGACTGACGATTGTGAAACGCGTTGCTCGATCCCATCCACGTGTACATGAAAAGAAGACGTTTTGTCCTGATGGAAGTCCTGCGCTTCGTCCTAAAACGTCTGATGACCCAGAAGGGCCGGCTGCCAGCAGACAGAGATATATATAGCGCGCGGAGCTGCGACAGCGTCTCTCCCTGGACAGGCGGCCCGACATTAATCCCGGGATTAGCAGCAGCTGCATCCGGGTTTTATCACACTGACACCAGCGCAGGGAGACGGAGTCTGCGCTGCCTTATACGAGGCCGGGAGAGAGGGGGGGAGGGGGGGCGGCGAGAGGGATTGGCAGGTTGTAGAAATAAAATAACTTTATTCCTCAGCACATCGCTCTAAATGTCAGACGCGGCCTACCGAGAATTACTTCCTACAGCTGACCTCCATCCCGCGCTTCAGTCTTCTATCTGACCTCCGTCCCCCGCTTCAGTCTTCTATCTGACCTCCGTCCCTTCCCTTCAGTCTTCTATCTGACCTCCGTCCTTCCCTCCAGTCTTCTATCTGACCTCCATCCTTCCCTCCAGTCTTCTATCTGACCTCCGTCCTTCCCTCCAGTCTTCTATCTGACCTCCGTCCTTCCCTCCAGTCTTGCACAGTTGTACCGGCTCCTCTCCTCTGATGTCACTGTACACTGGGATCTTCTCACAATGTGCATTAGAAGCTGCAGCAAGTCATATAGAGCCCGGCCTCATTTCCTGCCTGGAGGACGTCCACCATCATCTAGTGCTTTCCTCTCCTGCATGACTGTCCCTAGCCCCGCCCCTTTCATTCGTTGGATTTCAGTTCCTTCAATAATGGACCAGGAGTCTCCTGGATCGCCCCATTGCCTGACTGCAGCAGCCCCTATGAAAGTTTTTTTTATCTCCTCATGGCAATGCAATGCCCACCCGGAGATGCACTAGGGTGCCATTCAGAATTGGCACACTGGGAGGTATTCGGACTGCTGTCAATCAACACAGCAGAGCTTTACCGAGGCAACCAGGTAGCCTCTCCATCAGGAGCCAATGGCGAGAGACTGGCAGAGGGTGTGTGCTGGGAACCTCCCCCAGCAAGGATCACACCTGACACCAGTAACAGGTGCACTACGCGCACGTCCGCGTGCCTGCGCGCACAGCCTGTCCACCGCGCACTTGTCGCGCATGCGTACCCGCAATCCTGGTACCAGGGATCCTGCCAGGAAGGGGAACCCGTGCCCCCCTCCGCACATCTAAAGGAGATACAGACACACCTTTGCCTAGCAGCATTCCCAGGGAGGCAGTGTGACAACGCCAGCACAGATCTGCTCCGTGCTTGGCACGGTCAAACTAACACTGGAACACAGGAATTGGCTGGACCACCCGGTATTTTACAGCAACAAAAGGAAAGAAAACATTACTAGATGAACAAAGAACTGAACACACACATATGTGGAATCTTCATTTTTGGGGTAACGTGCACTTTAATTCGCCGTCCTACCTGTCTGCCATCCCGGGCTGCACCGATCGCCCGGAGAACTCCTCCATTTCTCACTGAACATGGCGGCCTCCTCGAGGAACTCCATCTTCTTCCCGTACTGCAGTTCTAACAGAGGCAGCACGTCCGGCAGCTTGGCGGATAAAATCCTGTACGTGATGTCCGGCTTCCCGATAAACCTCTGCCGGACGGTAATCTCGTGCCCCGTGACGGCCCTGATGTCGTCCACATCCTGCCGTTCGTATCTGTGGAGGAGGTGAAAGTCACAGTCCGCGATCTCCAGCGCGGAGAGGAGGACGGTCAGCTTCCCCGGCTTCAGGCTGTGGTCGGGATGATGGGAGAAAACGATCGGTATGATTACGATGACGCCCTCCTTCCCGCGGGGCCGATCACTGGCGGGTGAAGCCTTGGACGCGGAGCCGCCGAATCTCTTCCACGGATTGCCGCTAAAGGGCCACCAAGCCGGAGCTTCCAGGACTGATAACATTCTGCTGTGAGAAGGAACAATGAGACTCAAATCTCATAATACAAAAACAGATCTCTGGATTATATTCACTTATAACATCACGTATCCCCAGCGACACTCCCACAGACTGCCGGCTGAGACAGGTCACCAGTCAGGCAGAACCTTGCAATACTAGAGGGGCACCGAAACCTTTCTCTGCTTACAAATCCCAGCAATAGTACATTATAGTATAGTATAATGTACTATTGCTGCGATTTTCTGTATTCCTCTGTAGCTGGCGTTATTCTGCGTTGAAAACACTTTTACTGTTAGGGGTTGCCACAACTTGGGCAAATGTATCAAAGGGTCGTGGCACTAGAAAGGTTGAGAACCGCTGAAATAGAGGATTTGTTGTCTCCTTTAAGCAGTGGCTCTCAAACTGTGGGTCGCTGTGTGTCCTCCTCAGCCCTCTCCTAGGGCAGCAGTGTCAGTTCTCCTGTCAAGCCTCCAGATGTCGCTGCAGCAGCCGCGTCATCCCTACATTTTACCATTGGGGGTCACCACAACTTGGCAAATGTTACCAAGGGGTCCCGGCCCTAGAAAGGTTGAGAACCACTGCTCTACATGATGCCAGGAAATGAGGAGGAGCTCTATCTGAATTGCTGCGGCTTCTAATGCACATTGTGAGAAGCTCCCAGTGTGCAGTGACATCAGAGGGAGAGGAGCCGGGACCACTGTGCAAGACTGAAGGAAAGGACGGAGGTCAGATAGAAGACTGAAGGGAAGGACGGAGGTCAGATAGAAGACTGAAGGAAAGGACGGAGGTCAGATGTTGGAACGCTGTACGCAGCTCACAGATGTATCTGATAATGTGACGACTTTTATTAATACGGTTTGAATGCGATCCTCTGATTGCCGCGGAACTCCCTCGTCCTCCGATTACCATAGCAGACAGACAGACGAGAGGCGATCTTCCCGTCTCCTCCTCGTATCTCCGGTGAAATCGGCACTCAATTGCTTTCACAGCTCGTCTACTTTGCCCGCTCGGCCCCGGCTACACAGCGCGACGTCCTTTCAAACAACTGGAGGGTGTCCAGAGATAATATTGACCCGGCCTCTGATTCCTTCCTCACTTGTAAAGCAGCCGCTGCCCCGTAGTAATGAAAGGCGGGCCGATCCGAAACTTTTCTTTCCCATTAACCCCGTAAGATCCCGGCCAGATGTGCAGGAAGAGCGCGGATACAGTCACGCCGGCAGTGGAAGGGTGAAGGATGATCGTGAATCATTCATGCCCTCTGACAACTCATGGTAATGTGTCTGCGTCCATCAGACGCCTTTATAACAGCAGCAGGATTTCTCTGAACGCAGTTCTTGCGCTATGGGAAGGTTTCGAGTTCAGACGTTTCTTTTCCGGCCAGAAAGAGGAAAACGAGGCCTTGATCTCAGTTGAATCTGATCAACGGGTCTCTGTGGTACTCTGTGCAATGCAGGCAGATCATGGCTGGTGGGAGGGGCCGGCAGGGGGCTGTACATAGCTTCCTGAAGACATCACCGCACCCTGCCTCAGTACTGCGCCCAAGAGCCCTCAGCTCTGATGCAAGCAGTGGGCTGGATTATGGGAGGAGTTATGCAAATATCAAAAGGGCTTAAAGGGTGGGTGTCAGTCTGGAAGAGTGAGCATTTCAATGCGCCCCTCCCACATGTGATGCTGAACCTTCATAATGGAAAGAACTGACATCCAATTAATGAAAGGGGCGGGGCCAGGGACACTCAGGCTGGGGAGGAAGGTGCTAGGTGATGCTGGACATCCTCCAGCCAAGAAATGAGGCGGACTATGAGTTGCTGCGGCTTCTAATGCACATTGTGAGGAGCGCCCAGTGTGCAGTGACATCAGAGGAAGCCAGCTCAGTCCGGGAGAGGAGCCAGTACTGGGGAAGGACAGAGGTCAGATAGAAGACTGAAGGAAAGGATGGAGGTCAGATATAAGAATCAAGGAAGGACGGAGGTCAGATAGAAGACTGAAGGGAGGGACGGAGGTCAGATAGAAGACTGGAAGGAAGGACGGAGGTCAGATAAAACACTGAAGGGAAGGACGGAGGTCAGATATAAGAATGAAGGAAGGACGGAGGTCAGATAGAAGACTGAAGGGAGGGACGGAGCTCAGATAGAAGACTGAAGGGAAGGACGGAGGTCAGATAGAAGACTGAAGGGAAGGACGGAGGTCAGATAGAAGACTGAAGGGAAGAACGGAGGTCAGATAGAAGAGCCCCCCCTCCCCCCCATTACAAGGTAAGGAGTGCAGGAAGGCAAAGAAAAGTATCTATGGTCTTGTCTCCGCCCCCTCCTGTAGTTTCCTGCAGGCAGCTTGCAGTGGGTGGGACCTGGAACCAACCGCTCTGGCTATGTAAATCTCAGTGATGATGTCATCACTACATCTACAAGGTAATAATTGGGTAAACAAAGGCATTAGATGCTCACAAAGTGGATTTATATCCTTTGTAATTATGAGCAAAATATTTAAATGAAACCTTTTATAAAAGCAAAATTCTGCTCGGACGCCGTCACCCCTGGGCCCAATCTAACAGCAGACATTCGCTATCTGCTCTCTCGTCTTCTATATCATCCATCCGTCCATGCCAAGCTCCCTCACTGAGCCACGTGCATTTTATCCTGGGACATGGGGGGTGAGGCGCTGGACCGCACCAACACCTATTCAACTTGCCAGCACCTCCTGTGTTTGGGGGCTCCCGGCCTGTCCAGTAGGACGCTTTTTACAAAACAAAACAAAAAAAACTACACACAGACATCCCATAATGCTTTTGGAGCAAAGCCTATCTCCGGGCAAAATAAAAATTGCCCTCAGTCCTCCCCACCCCCTCATTTGGCAATGTGTTTTGTCTTTTATTCACCTAAACCTCCAGCCGCTCTTCTGGGAATGAGGAACAGTTGCAGTTCAGACCCGCGGATCTCTGTTCTTGTTGTCATCAGCAGTTTTCTGCTGCAGAGGATCCCGCCACTGTACAGGTCATGGGAAGCGTCCTTGTAACCCAGGCAGCGATGTGGGCCCCTAAAAAAAAAAGGACCCTCCCCCTCTGCAGTGAGCTTGTGGGAACTGGTGACGAGGTAGCATGAAGCCGGCTTCCGGGCCAATCAGGAAGCCGGGCGGCGTGTAATGAACCGCCACCAGGCTTCCTGATTGGTGGGAAAGCTGGCCAATCAGCAAGTCATTACCCTCCCCCTGGCTTTCTGATTGTCCAGAAACCCAGCTCCATGCTTCCTTACCTGGTGACAAGGGAGCATGGAGACGGCTAATCAGGAAGCCAGGGCAGCGAGTCATTGCACACCGCTCAGCCTCTTTAATAGGACTTCCGGTATCGGTATTGGCGGGTACCGAAAAAAAAAAATATTCATACTCCATACCGAAAAACCCGTATCAGTGCATCGCTATTCAATACACTGCAGTTCACTACAAGAAGAGAAATCACATTGCCGTATATTTGATATATTGGAATATTCTGCACTCACCTGTTGGCAGTGGCCATGTCCCCCTCTATTTTGTTCAGGTCACTCATCACGTTGTCAAACTGCTCCCCCTGGTGGTGCAGCACCCTAGTGGTGTCCTCCAGCCTCTTCTGGGATCCGGCCACAATGTTAATAAGTTCCTTCCCTTTGGAGGTTCTGACACCGTCCTGCTCCCACCGCGGCGACAACAGCTGCTCCCTCCAGAAATGCTCCAGGACGGTGAAGACGGCATTTCGGTTCGGCTGGAGGGAGCTGAACCAATGCTTGGCGTTGTCCTTCTCCAGCACCGTGATGGAGCTGAAGATATAAGTGGACGTCTCCTTCTTGATCTCGCTGATGCTGGACAGGTGGAAGTTCACTGAGAAAGTCTCCGCGTTGTCTTCTCTGAACCGCAGGTGGGTGGGGGTCAGCGAGAGGCGGCCGGGGACCCATCGCCGATCACCGTTCAGGTAGTAAGAGCAAGGCCAGGACTGGACGGGGACTTCTTTATTCATCAGCTTCGCCGTGCCCGGGGAGGACAGTCCAGGAAATCGGTCGGCTTCGGTCTGAACAAAACCAAGACACAAAACGCATTTCTTGTATTATTTCAGATCAGGCTTAGTGATCATGTGATCGGGAGCCGTTCTTCCTGATATTACTTACTTTGATATGATGATGATAATATAGTCATGTGACCATATAAGGCCAATGATGTCACCAGCATCCCTCCCCTTTGTCCATGTGTACAGCACTATGGAATATGTCAGAGCTATATAAATGCATACTAGGGTGTGACTGTGGGGGGACATTAGAGTGTAAGCTCCTCTGTACAGAGACTGATGTGACTGTGGGGGGGGCATTAGAGTGTAAGCTCCTCTGTACAGAGACTGATGTGACTGTGGGGGGGGCATTAGAGTGTAAGCTCCTCTGTACAGAGACTGATGTGACTGTGGGGGGGGCATTAGAGTGTAAGCTCCTCTGTACAGAGACTGATGTGACTGTGGGGGGGGCATTAGAGTGTAAGCTCCTCTGTACAGAGACTGATGTGACTGTGGGGGGGGCATTAGAGTGTAAGCTCCTCTGTACAGAGACTGATGTGACTGGCTTAGTGTTCTCTGTACAGTACTGCGGTATATGTCAGAGCTATATAAATGCATACTAGGGTGTGACTGTGGGGGGACATTAGAGTGTAAGCTCCTCTGTACAGAGACTGATGTGACTGGCTCAGTGTTCTCTACATGGAGCTCTGCATAAATAAAGCAGGTCACAGAGGATAGCAGTGGCTTCTCACACAGGAAACCCTCACACTCCCAGAAAGGTATTTTTCCTATAAAGCTGGCTGGTACTTGTGGTTCTCCAGCAGCAGCAGTCCCCGCCCATCTTCTGCCCTCCACCAATCACCGTTTCTCCCCGGGTCGCCGCTTACCCACCTGTCCCGGTGGCTTTTGTTATTCTTTCTGTAGTGACGTCACATTGCGGGTCAGCTGACCGTGCCATGTGCACCCGGAAACTCCGTCTGCCCGGAAACAAGAGCAGGTCGGATTGGATCCGGGTAAGAATAAATGGGGTGTCTTTAGCTCTTGGTTGTTACTGGGGGTGTTTACACACAGGAAGAAGAGGGGGGGGGCTTCAAATTTCGGGGGCAGGTCCCCCCTCAGACAAAGTCTGTATCATCAGTAGAGGCTCAGCTCCACCAGTTAGATGATTCTTCATTCTGTTCTATCATCATGTTGTATGGCTCCAGTATAGAAATGTTTTTCTTTCATTATGGGAAAAGTGTGGAAAAAAAACATTTCTATTAAGTTTTTTTTTATTTCACCCATATATAAAATGGAGGAAACCGTTGTCACCGGGGTTGTTGTTGCGACAGGAAGCCACAGACAGCAAAATCGAAGAAGAGAAGGATGTGGGGAGTGCTGCAGCTCACAGGAAGTTCCTGAACAGGGAGTTTTTATAGAAGGGGATGATTTTAATGACAAATATCGTAACAAAAGCTCAAAAAAATACGATGTTTTTTTCTCTCATTTGACCAGTGTCTGTTTATAGAAAAAAATAACTGCTATAAAATAATTTATCAATTAAATTCTATAATTTGTCCTGTTAAAGATTATGATTGTGGAACAAAGTCTTGCAAAGTCTAATTATTATTATTTTGAAGGCGAGTTAAGTAGGACTGATTAAAGGGTTAATAAGGAGTTGTATTGGACATTTCTTTTTAAATATTTGTATTATTATTGAAAAAAGTTGCTATTAAAGTTATAATTTATTATTATGGTCATTAACACTTATTATTTAAACTTACTATTATTATTATTGGATATTATTATTATTTTTAATATTTTATATTATCAGCTGGAAATTGACGGCAAATACGAGTAGGGGAGTGACAAAGGGGCAGTAGGATGGAACGTATTACAAACGGCCTGCGCACTTAAAGGAGATCTATGAGGTGATTGATTTCCACTCCTCCTCATAGTTCGAGCCGACGTGTGACAAAGAAGCTGTCACGGGGCGCCTCTATCGATCGGGAAATGAGCAGAAACATGCCGCTGATCGGCTCACTTCCCGATCGTCCCCCTGCAGAGAGCAGTGACTGTCACTCACTACTCTCTGCAGCGACATGATCGAGAAGTGAGCGAGCGGCGGTATGTGTTCGCTCACTTCCCGTTCTATTGAGCCGACCTGTGACAGTCTCATTGTCACACGTCGGCTCGAACTATGAGGATGAGAGGAAAGTGACGTTTTTCTTCGGTGGGTGTGGAACGCTTTGAGCCCAAACTAGCACTGGCAACTGAGAACCTAAAACTAATAACAATGGCAGGGGGCATGAAGACGCAGGAGCATGGCGCCACACCCCTGATTATGTAGCTCGCGGTATACTGAGCCTAGGGTGACGGGAGGACGCTAGTTTGTGTCCTCCCGTTACCCTAAGGAGAACTATGGGGAAAAGTCCCAGACTTCCCATAGGCGCTGGTTGATTCTCACTCACTCCGCCATCCCTACCGATCCCGTCACTGGTCAACCACTATCAGCTACTAGATGACTGGTGTCACCTGAGCCCTACTTCAGTGACTTCCATAAGCGGGGCCCCCGGACACATGGGAGTGTTTTCTGGTTTGTTTTGGTTGTTCCATCCCCCGATCTTCTATAACAATTTCTTGTGTATTCTTCTCTTACAGATGAGTCCAGGAGATGACGATGAGCCCCCCTGACATGATGTGACCCCCCCTGACATGATGTGACCCCGAATCCGGAGATCTCATGGATGAACCTCTCAAGGTAGAGGCCGGGGTCAAAGTCCGGGATCACATTGACTTAATTGAAGAGCCGGAGACCTTCAGCTATCACCAGTTCTTCCACCAGTACATGATCGGAAACTCGCCGTGTCTCTTCTCCTCCAAGTTCACCGAGTCCTGGGGGAGCCGCAGGTCCTGGGTCAGCGCCGACAACGAGCCGAACTGGAATCACCTTCTGCGGAACTTCGGTATCTTTCTTACTTTACTTTGATCTGTAGTTTAGACCTCCGACCTCCCCTTCAGTCTTATATCTGACCTCCGTCCTCCCCTTCAGTCTTATATCTGACCTCCGTCCTCCCCTTCAGTCTCCTATCTGACCTCCGTCCTCCCCTTCAGTCTCCTATCTGACCTCCGTCCTTCCCTTCAATCTTCTATCTGACCTCCGTCCCTAACTTCAGTCTTCTATCTGACCTCCGTCCTTCCCTTCAATCTTCTATCTGACCTCGCTCCTTCCCTTCAGTCTTCTATCTGACCTCCGTCCCTCCCTTCAGTCTTATATCTGACCTCCGTCCTCCCCTTCAGTCTTGCACAGTTGTGGGGGCGGTTGGGGGCAGTGCTGAAGCTGAGAGGGGGGGAACAATTAATATTATTACTGGGCCGGGGCGGGCGGCACCGCTCCCTCCCTCCACCAGCACTGCAACTCCTGCAGGCACACCCGCACCTATGCATGTATACAGATATATTCTCGTATGTGTGTGTGTATATAGATAGATACACACATATGAGAATATATTTATATTTTTAAAAATTCATATTACTGGTCCGCAGGATTTAAAATGATGAATTTAGCGGTCCATGAGGTCCGAAAGGTTGGCGACCGCTGCTCTAGGCCATTCATAGACCTGAAGCCTGCAGCTTAAAGGAGAACTATGAGGGGGAGGGGCTTTTCACTCACGTCATAGTTCTAGCCGACCTGTGACAATGAGACTGTCACAGGTCAGCTCAGTAGATCGGGAGGTGAGCGAACACATACCGGCGTTCGCTCACCTCTCGATCCTGTCACGGCTCTCTGCCGTGACAGGGGAGAGGCTGGATACCCCCCCCGCTCCGATCCTCCAGCGCTGACTGGCGGGAGGGGGCGGGTACAGCTGGCTCTGCCTCTAGATAGGCAGAGCCAGCTGTCACTCACGCAGCTGGGCGGATCCCGGCACAATTGTTGGGATACGCTTCAGCTGCGGCGTCTCAGTATACCGCGAGCTGCAGCTCCCTATATACTGAGCTTAGGGTGACGGGAGGACGCTAGTTTGTGTCCTCCCGTTACCCAAAGGAGAACTATGGGGAAAAGACTTAACCCCATAGTTCTCCTTTAATGTAGCGGAAGTCATAGGTGTCAGCCCTGAACAATCTATCCTGACGAGTCCCCTTAAGAAGCGGAGATCTCCGTGTTGCAGCACCGGCGCACTGATGCAAGACGTGTTCCGGGGCCACACACGTGACAATCCTGTCCTGGTATAAAAGATCCGTGTCACGTGTTATGGACTTTGTTCTGCTGACCCGGGTGTGATGTGTTGCAGGTGATGCCGCCGTTCCTGTGGCTAACTGCGATGTGAAGGAGTACAACGCCAACCCCAAGGAGCAGGTTCCTCTCCGGGAATACATTGAGTATTGGAGGGAATGCCGGGAGAACGCCTCCCCCTCCCCCCGGGGATGTCTGTACATGAAGGACTGGCACATGCAGAGGTAACGCGCCGACGCTGTGATAATATACAGCCAAAGTGTTATTTTATCATTGCCCAGCCACCTATGAGCAGTGACTTTGCCTACGCTGAGATGTCGTCAGTCTGCTGCAGGCAGGAGAAAGCATTTCCTCAGTCTCCCCTCCCCCAGTGATCAGTCTGCAACATTGTAACTTTGTGGCAAGCTGTCCTTGATCTCCAGTACAATAGGTTTGCCTAGGCTGAGATGATGTGATCAGCATGCTGCAGGCAGGAGGAAGCATTTCCCCTCAGCCCCCCCTTCCAGTAATTAGACTGCTACAGGCAGAAGGAAGCATTTCCTCAGTCTCCCCTCCCCCAGTGATCAGTCTGCTGCAGGCAGGAGGAAGCATTTCCTCAGTCTCCCCTCCCCCAGTGATCAGTCTGCTGCAGGCAGGAGGAAGCATTTCCTCAGTCTCCCCTCCCCCAGTGGTCAGACTACAACATTGCAACTTTGTCACAAGGTGAGAGGCTGCAGCAGGGGCTGATCTGTGTCAGGGTTTGTGAACCTGGATGATGCCTGAACAAAGATGGCGCCGTCCTATGCTTCTAAGTCTCGATGTCGGTGTTACATTTACTAACTTCTTCTCTGTGTGGGTTGAACTCGATGGACTTTTTTTCATGTAACTATAGATCGCATCTTCCTCCTTCCAGGGAGTATCCAGACCACGACGTGTATGAAACGCCAGAATACTTCTCATCGGATTGGCTGAATGAATACTGGGACGCTGTTGCCGTGGATGATTACCGCTTTGTGTATATGGGGCCGGCGGGCTCGTGGTACGGACGTCATTCACCTCATATATCTGTATGTAAGTCAGCCAGTAGGGTCTGACTGATAGGGAACCATTCACTTCAATGCACCCGTCTTCTTTCCAGGACTCCGTTCCACGCCGACGTCTTCCGGTCATACAGCTGGTCGGCAAATATCTGCGGGCGGAAGAAGTGGCTTCTCTTTCCCCCGGGGCAAGAGGAACATCTCAGGGACTGCCACGGAAATCTGCCGTATGACGTGACCTCTGCCGCCCTCCAGGACCCCGATCTGTACCCGGATTGTCAGAAGTGCTGCCCGCCGATAGAGGTCACACAGGAAGCCGGGGAGATCATCTTCGTGCCCAGCGGGTGGCATCATCAGGTGTACAATGTGGTAAGGGGAGGGGGGGTGCTGAGGGCTGCGTTGGGTCATCGCTTCATGCGTCTGGTTTTCGCTGAGGAGGAGGAGGGCATAGAGATCACACAGCAGACTCCTCCCACACGCCGGGTCTGAGTCCTGCCTTGCGGTTTAAATGGCCAGATGCAAAAGAGTTAAAGCAGAACTGCAGACGAATCAAATCTTAAAAGAGAATTGTGGTGTCAGTGTTTTTCCTCCATAGTTCTCCTCAGGGTCACAGGAGGACATAAACTAGCGTCCTCCCGTCAGTATATAGGGAGCTACAGCTTCCGGTATACTGAGACCTTTGCTGTCGAGATCCGCCCAGCTGCGTGAGTGACAGCTGGCTCTGCCTATCTAGCGGCAGAGCCGGCTGTACCCGCCCCCTCCCCCGTCCGTTCCGCCAGTCAGCGCTGGAGAATCAGAGCGGGGGGGAATCCCTACAGAGAGCGGTGACTGACAGTGCGCTGAGAGCTCCGGCTGCTAGTGCTATCAAGGACTTCTGGGTCTATTGGATAGCACGTCCCCCACTGCACATTATGGTTTCTTCTCACCAACTCCTACACCACTATTGTGTTCTGTAGTGACCTAAACGTCCTTTTTTAAGGATAGCGACACAGCCACTTTAGTAAGACTTGTGATCACCCTACAGCAGGGGCGCCCACAATTTTTCGTCTGGAAATCTACTTTTCCAATGACGAGCTCAAAGAGATCTACCAACGAAAAATCACCTGCGTTCAGGGGCGGGAGGGGGCGTGGCGGTGCATTGAAGTCAATGGCACCGCAGCCATGCCCCCAGTGCAATCGCCGCACCAGGAATGCAGGCACATTACTGCCTGCGTTCCGCTCCAGTGCGCTTTTTGCAGATATCGCACTGGACCAGAAAGCAGGCATTAAAGGAGAACTATGAGGGGGGAGGGGTGCTTTTCACTCACCTCATAGTTCTAGCCGACCTGAGACATTGAGACTGTCACACGTCTGCTCAGTAGATCGGGAGGTGAGCGAACACATACCGGCGTTCGCTCACTTCTCGATCCTGTCACGGCTCTCTGCCGTGACAGGGGAGGGGCTGCATTTCCCCCTCCCCGCTCCGATCCGCCAGCGCTGACTGGCGGAACGGGAGGGGGCGGGTACAGCTGGCTCTGCCTCTAGATAGGCAGAGCCAGCTGTCACTCACGCAGCTGGGCGGATCCCGTCATCTAAGTCGGGATCCGCTGCGGCGTCTCAGTACAGCTTGCGGTATACTGAGCTTAGGGTGACGGGAGGACGCTAGTTTGTGTCCTCCCGTTACCCTAAGGAGAACTATGGGGAAAACCACTGACCCCATAGTTCTCCTTTAATGTGCCTGCGTTCCGGGTGCGGACGATCACACTGAGGGCGGGGGCGTGGCTGTGATGCCATTGACTTCAATGCCACGCCCCTGAACGCAGGGAGCTAGCCAGCTTGCCTTCCACTGCGTTCTAGAGGCCAAACACTCTGGAACGCAGACTTTGTGGTGTGAACCGGCCCTCTCTTCTCTCTCTCCCCGTGTTTCTTTCTGCTGTCTCTCTCCTGTCTGTCTTTTGTTACCTCCACTGCAGCAGCTTCCCAGGTCTCCTCTCCTCTCTCCTTCCAGTCTGCGGCATCTGACACATTCAGCCGCACGAGCACCGCGGGAGGACAGGACACAGGTCAGTGAGCCGATCGCGATCCACCTAATGGGCGCCCCTGCCCTACAGAATACATATTTTCTGTCTTCCAGATAGACACCATTTCCATCAATCACAACTGGGTGAATGGCTGCAATGTGGCGGTTATGTGGCAGTTTCTGCAGAGGGAGTTGACAGCGGTGCAGCAGGAGATCGCGGAGTGGAAGGACACAATGGATGGCTGGGATCTGCACTGTCAGGTATCAGTAGCCTGCAATGGTGGAATTGAAGGGGGGACTTCCTGTGCCCTGCTGTACAGGGGTAACCAAAACCTTCACGACCAGACCAAATTTTGTTACGATATTTGTTGTTTGTTCTAGCGATGCACCGATACCGATACCGATACTTCCGGTATCAGGAAGCCGGGCAGCGAGTGTTATTATACGGCGCCCGGCTTCCTGATTGGCCAGAAAGCCGACTCCATGCTTTGTCGTCATCTAGTGACGAGAAGCATGGAGACGGCTTCCCTGATCATCGGGAAGCCGGGTGGCGAGACTTTACACGCCGCTTGGCTTCCGTAATGGGACTTCCGGTATCGGTATTCGGTATCGGTGAGTACCGGAAAGAAAAATATCGGTACTCGATACTGAAAAACCGGTATCGATGCATCCCTAGCTTGTACTCCTAGTAGGGCCCAGAAACAATAGATCGCATTTTGCCTATAGAAAGGGCAGTAACTCCAAAGCTAATGTGAATGGCTGTCACAGCGATCAATTAATCGGGAGCCCATCCTACCAGCTTCTGATCGTCACTGTGTGATTGGGACCTATGCCGGGGGGAGAGTGATTGAGCGTGCTCCTCATGAATCAACATGTAAGCATAAGGCCCAGCTTGTGCCGCCATATCTGTACAAAGGACAGGGCTGGACAGATCCCAGCGGCCAGCTGGTGTCTGACTTATGAGGTTTTCTCTAGTTGTTGTCAATAGAATCCTGGATTGGACGGACCGGCTGAATTCCATATTATTTGTCCACTTGCGGTGTAGGGACCAGTGGGAAGCGGCTAAAGGAGAACTATGGGGTCAGTGTTTTTCCCCATAGTTCTCTTAAGGGTCACTGGGAGGACATAGACTTGCGTCCTCCCGTCACCCAAAGCTCCGTATATCGCGAGATACAGCTTCCGGTATACTGAGACGCCGCAGCCGGGACAAATCCCGACATTACTGTCTGTATCCACCCAGCTCGGTGAGTGACAACTGGCTCTGCCTATCTAGAGGCTGTACCCGCCCCCTCCCCCGTCCGTTTCGCCAGTCAGCACTGGGGGGGGGATCCCTGCCGGGAGCGGTGAGTGACAGTTACGGCTCTCTGCAGGGAGATGATCGAAAAGTGAGCGAGCGACCGTATGTGTTCGCTCACTTCCCGATCTACTGAGCCGACCGGTCACAGTTTCATTGTCACACGTCGGCTCGGACTATGAGGTTGACTGGAGATCACTCACCTCATAGTTTTCCTTTTAATAAGCACCCTCTCACGATGAGGAACCTTCCAGGAGCACGTTGATTTACAATGGGGGTTGTAAAGGGGTTAATTTTTCGCTCCATAAGACGCAAAAAGGAGGGGAAATATGTGGAGCGAATACCTATCGCCCGGGGACATGCAGTTTCGGGCGCCGGGCGAGTATTTTTTGTACGTTCAGCCCTGCTCCTGACAAGCAGAGCTGAATGTACAGTGGGAGCCGATGCTCGTTTAATACAAGTGATCTAACTAGATCACTTGTATTAAATCGAGCGGCGGCGATCGTGTCCGCCACCCCCGCCGTGGTTTTTGGGGTCCCCCGCTCCTCTGGGGGACTGTGACCACGGCATAGGAGCTCACCATAGAGCCTCTTGAAGTCCGTTCCTCATCTGCTCTGTGTGATTACTGAGACAGCGCCACCAGCGGTCACGGAACTGCAGCTTCTGTCACAGAACGCCTGCGTCCTATGGACCGGAGCGCCTTATAGAGCGCAAAATACGGCACATATAAAAAATTAAATATTAAAACTGAACCTTTTTGAATATTAAACTGCAATAAAGAAAGTCAATGACAATGTTCACGATTCTTTCCCAGAACGCTGTTTCCTTTGTTTGCCTTCCTCAGGTCATCATGAAATCTTGCACGGGGATTAATTATAGAGAATTCTACGCGTTCCTGAAGATGATCGCACAGCGCAGGTTTGAAGCCTTGGAGACGACGGCCGTAGATGTCCCCGCGGAGGAGCGGATGGCCCCGGGGCCGCGCCATGCAGTGTTTGACCTGCAGAAGATTGCGGATGTCTTATCGGCACTCATCGACAACGGAGACTTTCAAAAGCTGGACGTGGAGACGCTCGACCCGCCCCCAAAGCAATTGCTGCGGCAGCTGAAGACGGCGATCGCTCAGAAGTCACCTGCTTGACGGAATGTCGGGTGCGGGTTAGGATTTGATTTTTATTTATTTAGAATAGGGCTGGTAATGATTAAAATGTTCGTCTTTGAATAATCAATTTTTTTTTAATCGATTAATTTGGATTAATTATAACGCACTTACAGATCCAACTACATTGGCCCATACACATACAGCACAGCAATGAAGTAATACAATGAACTAGGATCACACTAATCCAGCACGTTATTCATCTCACGTGCCCCACCCAATATGGCCGCCGCCTGAGTGGGGCAACTCAGAATAATAACGTGCTGGATTACAAATGTATTTACATAGTATAGTAAAACAGCAAAGCTCTAGGGGTGATATAAACATAAGTATTAGCGTAATATTTGAGATAGCAGCACCCGTCCATTCCATTTCATGTAAGGACCTGATTGCAACATAATATCAGTAAATTTCAATGGGCACATTTCTGGGAGCGAGATGGGGGGGGTTAATGGAGAGCCACATAGTGCATATATATGTTTAAAATTTAAGATTTCCCCCCGATGTCCCCTCACCCCTTCCCCAAGTGGCTCCGTCGCCTAACGAAAGGGAAGGGGAGGAGTCAGGTGACGTCACGGACATCGACGTCATCGGACTCCTCCCCCCTTCTCTTCGTTAGCCGACGGAGCTACTTGGGGAAGAGGGGAGGAGTCAGGTGACGTCGATGTCCGTGACGTCACCGGATCGCCGACGGGACTCCCGGAAGCCTGCGGAGAGGCGAGTCTTTTCATTTTCGATCAAAAGAATTTTAATCGGTCAAAAAGTTTAACGATTAATCAAGGAATTAATCGTTAATTTCCCCAGCCCTAATTTAGAAATGAACAATTCTATTATTTTATCATCAGCTCTGATCTCTTTGTAATGCTGTTTCGTCATTAGGCAATATGACAGATTACTGTGTATAGCAGCTGCTATGTGTCACTACCCCGCCTCCGTCCCCGCCTCCTCCTTGCTGGACTACTTATGATCCTCACTAGACCTGCACCCAGAGGGCCCCAGTGCAAGAAACCATAAAGGACCCCCAACACCAACACCGCAGGAGGGTGCTGCGGAGCGTTGTCCTGCTGCATGCTGGGAGCTGGCACCTGAGCAGTTGTCATGAGGTGAAGGGAAGCCGGCTCCATGTTCTCTTGTCACAAGTGACGAGGGAGCATGGAGCCGGCTTCCTGCTACCGGAAGTATCGGGCCAGGCATCGGAGCATTTGGGCGAGTATGAGTACTCGGCACCGATACTAGTATCGGTGCATTCCCAATAGTGACACTTCTCTGCCCTCCCTCTGACATGCTAGTGATAGCATGAAAACCTGTACGGTCATATGTTGATGTTATAGTTATCAAAGAAAGGAATTTATATACCGGAAGTCCCATTACAGAAGCCAAGCGGCGTGTAAGGTCTCGCCACCCGGCTTCCCGATGAAAGCATGGAGTCGGCTTTCTGGCCAATCAGGAAGCCGGGCGCCGTCGTCCAGCTTCCTGATTGGCCGGGAAGCCGGCTCCACGCTCCCTCATCTACTCCTACTACCAGCATGCCTCAGTTTTTTGCTAGTGTCCTCGGAGGATGGACTTTTCTACAGTTCTGCTGTAAAGAGATATAATAATGGATCCTCAGGTTCCGGGGATTCCACGGAGTTATTGATGCATTGGCAAAAACAACATTGTATCTGAGGCTGTGTGAAGGATTATTTAGTGTGGGTGTGGGGGGTGCACGGGAGCCCTTCTGTGCGCTAATGTCTACCTTCTAGATTGAACAGAGGGTGGGTGAGCCCCCAGTTTGCCCAAGCCCCCTCAAAACTGTAATCACCACCCGCTCCTCCTGACCCAATCAGTTTGTGGAGAGGCGCAGCTATACATCCCAAAGAAGCGGCCAATGCCGAAACTGCTGACACTGATTGATCGGGAGGAGGGGGTGACGGTCAGAGTTTTGAGTGGGCCTGTGTATACTGGGTTCACACCAAGCTCAGCCCCATCTCTTGTAATGATCTATTGGTATCAGTGAGTGCTCACAGCTGATAAACTCAGAATGAATAGTAACTAAGGATGCACCGATACTGGTATCTCAGCATCGAGTACCGATATTTTTTTGGGGTACTCGCCGATACCAAGTACCGGAGGTCGCATTCAGGAAGCCTGGCGGCGTATAAAGACTCGCCACCCGGCTTCCCAATAAGCAGGGAAGACGCCCCCATGCTTCTCGTCACTAGATTGGCTTTCTGGCCATTCAGGAAGCCAGGCGCCCGTTTAATGACGCGGCGCCCGGCTTCCTGATTGGCCAGGAGGCCGGCTCCATGCTCCCTCGTCACTTGGAGCCGGCTTCTCAGCCGATCGCCTCATGACGAGGGAGCATGGAGCCTGCTTCCCGGCCAATCAGGAAGCCGGGTAGTGTGTAATGACGCGCTGCCCGGCTTCCTGATACCGGAAGTATTAGGCTAGGCATCGGAGCATTTGGACGAGTACTCACCCAAAAACTCGGCACCGATACTAGTATCGGTATTGGTGCATCCCCAATAGTAACACTTCTCTGCGTCAGCTGCCCTCCCTCTGACATGCTAGTGATAGCATGAAAACCCGTACGGTCACCTGATCCTATAGTTATCAAAAAACAGAATTTATTTCAAGGTTGAAATGAATAAACAAAAAAAAGACAAGGACTTTAAAATAAAAGATTTATTCCGCACTAAATAACAAATACATTCGCGGCGCACGGGAAACGCAATGACACCCGGCGTGTTTCTTCTCATGTAGTGTAACTATAATCGCTTTACTATTTACAATCTCCTGCTGCGCTCGGCAGTTATCTCCACACAATCCGGAAACCGTTTAATAAATACAAAATACATTTCAGCGGTATAAATACTTAAAAGGTGAGATCACATGATTCTCGCCATTAAAACGGTGCATGTCAACCCTAAGGGCCCATTTACTGCCTAGGGAGCCCATGTTGTGCGTAAGGATGCTTTGCATTGAGCTGGCCTATTGAAATGAATGGGCAGCCGAGGCAACCCAACCTGCCAAACAGTGGACATGACCCCCTTTTTTTTTTTGTAACGCACTGCACTACAGGTGTTGTGGAACTCCATTGTACAAACGCACTGCCTTAGTATGTCGGGGGGTGCCCTTCGAAATGAATGGCGCTGTAATGCATGTTGCATGCATTACTGCACATTAACACATCTGTTACCAAGACACGCTACTGTCAATGGGCCCCCAGTCTATTTTTCAGTATGGTTGTAACCTTAAAGGAGAACTATGGGGTTAAGGCTTTTCCCCATAGTTCTCCTTAGGGTAACGGGAGGACACAACCTAGCATCCTCCCGTCACCCCAGGCTCAGTATATAGAGAGCTACATCTCGCGGTATACTGAGACGCCGCAGCCGGAGCGGATCCCGACAATTGTGCGTGAGTGACAGCTGGCTCTGCCTATGTAGAGGCAGAGCCAGCTGTACCCGCCCCCTCCTTCGTCCATTCCACCAGTCAGCGCTGGCAGATCGGAGCGGGGAGGGGGGAATCCAGCCCCTCCCCTGTCACGGCAGAGAGCCGTGACAGGATCGAGAAGTGAGCGAACGCCGGTATGTGTTCGCTCACCTCCCGATCTACTGAGCCGACCTGTGACAGTCTCATTGTCACAGGTCGGCTAGAACTATGAGGTGACTGAGAAGCACCCCCCCTCATAGTTCTCCTTTAACTCTGAAGTGAACTGGTTTATTGCAAATCTGCGCAGTTTCTTTTCCTGAGGTCCCGCCAGTTACAGCCGGCTGACAATGCTAAGCCGCAGCCAAAATGTAAGTCTATATCTGGCCACTAGATGGAGCTGAAGAGCATAGGGAAAAAATATTTAATATGCTCCTCAGCTCCACCTAGTGGCCAAGATCTTGTATTACAGCACTATTTACATCTCGACTGACTGTTCAGCTAGACGAATGAATGAATGTAAGCAGCCGGAGGCAATAGCCAGACTGCTATTGGCTATTTTACCTTGAAATAGCTAATAGCAGACTGGCTATTGAAACCCCACCCACCGAGCGGAGCGGACCTGAGAGAGAAAGTTGTCTTTCAGTTCTGCTCCTCTGCTCAGTGGGCGGGTACAATAGCCAGCCTGCTCTTGGCTTTTGCAATTCGAAATAGATGGGGGGGGGGGGGGGGTGCATGCTTTAGGCTGCGCCCTAGGCAGCAGTACCCCCTAGGCGGCTGCCTAGTTTGCCTAGTGGAAGCACCGGCCCTGCATGTCTGGTTGACAGGGTCCCGTTGATTTTTATGTTTTCCTTAAAAGTGGAACTAACACCCCCCCCCCAATTTAACGGTTCCCCAAAACAGTTACATTCAAGGCAAGATGATACGTCTAACAGTTGCTGTTGTGCTTATGATGTAGACGAGGAAAAAAATAGAAGCATCGCTCTACTAATAAAGTCCAATTTAAGGTTTTATTTCAATTGACAAGGAGAAGCAGCAAGAGGTCCGCCTTCTTCAGGGTCAAATAGGAGCAACTAAGGCCTCATTCACACGTGTAACGGCCGGCCCTTACGGATCCGTGCTGCGTCCGCGCAGGGACACCCGCACCCACACGGACGTACAGGTCGGGTGAGCGTAGGGCGGCGTGCGGCCGCGTACTCCCATAGAGAGGGACAGGCTGCTGCGTACACATCACACGCAGCACCTGTCCTTCGCCGGGAGCGGCCCGATACGGCCGTGCACGCAGCACGGAGCTATACGGGCCGGCCGCTTCTCGTGTGAATGAGGCCTAAATGAAAACTGGGCTGGCGTGAAGAGTCAGAAGATGGATATTTGGCTCCTTTTCTCTCTAGTTTGGCATCTGATGCTGAAGGATGATGAATTAAGAGCGAGAAGAACCTTCATACAAGTCCAGCAAGATATCCGTCCTTTGACTCGTCACAGTCCGGCTCACATTTATTTCCACTGCCCTCAAGAAGGGGGATTCTTGCAGCCCCCCGAAACATGTTGGATTCTCCTGCTGAACTGATATTAAACCTTAAACTTCACTTTTATGAGTGGCGCTTCTATTCTCCACCTTGTTTCCATGTTACAAAAGTCCTAGAAAAATACAGCCACCGGCTATCTCCCATCAAAAGCCATGACCAACTCATTGACCAATCCAATCTCATCATAAGCAGCGTGCTTATGTCTGCTCTCCACCGAACTTTCAAGTCTTCAGATGGCTGGTGTCTTAGCTGATCATGGCAGCTGTAGATCTGTACAGAAGATAAGATGGGGCTGTCCTTGGCTATAGAGGAGCTTTTAGGTCCACTCTAAAGTGGTTGTTAGTTTTGGCAGGGGAAGCTTAGAACCTCTATGGGGCTTTTATTGCGATCAGCTAACGTAGCATGCTCTTCAGTTATATCTTCAACTAGATACAGTATATGGCCTACAGGTTCTGGACACCTGACCAATCACACCTATATGAGCTTGTTGGATTTTCCATTTCAATCTATGGCCATTAATATGGAGTTGTTCCACCCCTGTGGCTACACCAGCCTCCACTCTTCTGAGAAGGATTTGCACACGATTTTGGAGTGTGTCTGTGGGAAGATGTGACCATTTGTGAGTACTGCTGGATAAGAAGACATGGCTTGCCATCTTTCATCCCAATGGATGGTCAGTAGGGTTGAGGTCAGGGCTCTGTGCAGGGCACTCAAGTTCCTCCACATCATAGTGGTCAAACCATGTTGGGTGAGAAGACCTGGCCCTCAGTTGACAGTCCAATTCAACCCAAAGGTTTTCTTTAGGGTTGAGGTCAGGGCTCTGTGCTGGACACTCGAGTTCCTCCTCATAATGGTCAAACCATGTTGGGTGAGAAGACCTGGCTCTCAGTTGCCATTCAAATTCAATCCAAAGGTGTTCAGTAGGGTTGAGGTCAGGGCTCTGTGCAGGACACTCGAGTTCCTCCACATCATAGTGGTCAAACCATGTTGGGTGAGAAGACCTGGCTCTCAGTTGACAGTCCAATTCAACCCAAAGGTGTTCAGTAGGGTTGAGGTCAGGACTCTGTGCAGGACACACCGTTTCCTCAGCGCCATACTGGTCACACCATGTCTTTATGGAGCTGGCTTTGTACGCAGGGGACAGTCATGGTGGAACAGAAAAGGGGCCTTCACCAAACTGTTCCCACAAGTTTGGAAGACACAATTGTCTACAATGTCTTTGTATGATGTAGTATTTACAGGGCCCTTCACTGGGAACACCTGATACTTACAATACTTTTGGCCATACAGTATATAGAACCCTTTTTGATTGGATTACCAGGAGTGTTAATTTTCTTACACTTCTTGTTATAATGCCAGTTTGGCTTACTAGTTAAACTTATGTGCCAAAAAAAAGGTAATCATCATCATCATCTTGATCAGCACAATCGGCAATATTTTCAGGTAAAACAGAATGCTTCTCTAATATAAAGTAAAAACTAGCGTTACTGCAATACCAGTCCTGGCCAGCAGGCGGAGCTTCCCTGACACTCTCCCATTGCCTTACTTGTACACTATTCTAAGGCGGGATATACGCATGTGCATTGCACTGATATCATGCCTCCCTGTGACGTACGTATTGAGTTTATATTATATGCACGAAATCCATTTCTATAATATAAAGCTGGACGTCCGACATTCTCCCGCGAAGCTGCGGCGTTATCCTTCCCGGGGGGGAGACGTCACGATGAGCACGTCCTGCGTGATTTGTGCGGCGCGATAGAACATTTTTTCCCCCTCGGTTGTATCACTTGAAAAGCCGCGTTTCATCTTTCTGAATGTGTTCATAGCAGGACTGGAAAGAGAGAGAGAAGCACATCGGAAAATTCAGAACATAAATAGTCAATAAGAGAATTATCAATTCCTTTATATAAAAGCTTTAGGCTGATGAACCCCATTCCATGTTCATGTCCAGCCAAAATGTATTTTGTTAGGTTGGGGTGGAGTAGGGTAGGGGTTGGAACCCTTGTCAGGTTTTTTTACTGCTGCCCGGGGCTCCATTAGAGAGATGTACATTCACTTCCTGTCCTGTGACAACATTTTACCAGACAGGAAGTGAGAAGAATTCTCCCAACAGCACCACATACTGGGAAAGGCTAAAGCAGGACAATGAGCCAATCAGTACTGCAGCGCTCATGTGCTAACAAGGAGCATGTTGATAGGAGGAGTGAGAAAAGTGACTCAGTGGCTCATCCGCTCATCCTTTACTGTCCAGTGCTTGTCTCCCCTCCCCATTCCTGTACCATACCAGGCCACGTTCAACATTGGGAGGGTTGGCCAAGCCTCCTCCATCCTTACAAGGCACCTTGTCCCAATGTTGAGGGACAAGGACTTCTTACCAACATCCTGTCCCCCAAAAGGGATGTAGGAGTTTGTGGGGAAATCTGGAGGTCCCATTTATAATAAGCGGGCCCCCAGTTATCCTGCCCACCCCCCCAAGGGGAATACGTATAGAAGTATGCTAGTTTACATTCCAGCAATTCGGGATTCAGGAACTGGACATGTATGTAAGTGGCACCACAAACAGGCTGGGTTTGGGTTGGGTTGGCTCACGTTTGACCCGAATGTCCTTCTTAATGCTCCCCGGTGCATGTTCCTCCACTCTGGATTTACTCCATTGGAGTTTTTTAGTAAATACCCAGTCCTTTGGGGTATAGGGGAGCATGTGACCTACCCCCCATTTATGATGCTTGGGCCTGGGAGGCCAATCCCCAAGGCCTGAACATTGTCACATGAAGAAGACAAGGGTCTTTATCCCTGTGTAATCTCTGACATCCACTGGCACAGAAGGCCTGACATAGCAGTGAGGGGAAGATGAGCATAGGTGAGTTGGGAGTTGTTCCTACAAGATGATCAAAGTAACAGGTTCTCTTTAATGGCCCTCTAAAAGAGCTCAGGGTTAGAGATGTCGGAGAACTCACCTCCAAGGCTGTTAACAGGAAGTCGTAGATACCGCCCCGATTAGTGGGGTCCATCAGGTCCTGGATAAAGTGGATGTCAGCTCCTAAGTGCTGTATTCTGTAATAGGAAACAATATGACGGTCACCCGACAATCCAACCAATATATATATATATAGAAAATACTAGCAATAAGTAAGAAAATGCAGCAAAATATACCAGCGAAACATTGCCCATTCGTGAGTTATCACCGGCATAATGTAGACCAGCGGTTCTCAACCTGTGTAACCTCAGGACCCGCATTTGTCCTTGGTCATTAAGTCACCCAAGTCGCACCGCACTAGAATGCATGGCATTAGGATACCCCACATTCCGGACTATGGGTGGGAGGTGTATATGAGGTGCCATTCAAATGAATGGCAATGCAACACACCTCCTACACCAGAATTCTCGGGGTAGGCGCGATTTTGCATGGTGCAGTGCCTTAATCACAAGGGACTGTGCGATTAACGCACTGTACTAGTGTGAACAGGCCCCTTAAAAACACTGACAGACCCGCACAACCACAGATACAATCTCACACGAATCTTCACACACACGTTTTTTTAAGGTCCCCCCAGTCTCCCTATCTTACGAGAACTGGAGTGCATCCTCATCCTGGGGTCCAGTGTGGGCTGCTGTGCTCCATCAATAGCTGCATTGCTGGTACAGCTCGCTTGCGAGCATCTCTGGTCTGGCCGTAGGGTTCGGGGGTGGCAGAGGCCCGTGATGCTGTGCCCCCTGGGGGTGGTGTCCCAGGGGTGCCAGAAAATAACAAGTGATTTCACTGACACTAGGTCACGGCACTTACCCGCTTTTTTCTGCACTACCCCTTCTGAGCAGGCCTTATGGCTAGCCCGGGGCAATACTTTTGCACTCTAGGCCCCTAAGGGCTGTCAGTGTGGTGCACTGACACTTTATTATTTATGCGCGATTGGGCACTTTTTGACTTCACAGAAGACGGAGGGTGTGGGTACCTTCCTGATGTCGGGGAGGAGATTCTGTGGCCCTCACCTGGGTTCCCCTGTCTCCTCCCACTCGGGGGTCTCTCTTCAGCAGAGCCCCCGTCTAATACTCGCTGGACCTGTTTCGTCAGGTCCTAGAGGATCGGGGTCCGCCGGCCTTTGGGTAGGTGGACCTAAGTCATTCTTGCCCCTGTCAGGAGCGTTGTGTTCCGGGAGCCAGAATGTGACATCACTCTGATCCAGGCAGCTCTACAGGGCACATGAGGGAGCTGTAAGCAATGCATGTATGGATGGAGCTCCACCACGGCCATGCCCCCTGCTCCCCCCCCCCCCCCCCCACACCTCACCTCAAGCTTGGCTTCTCCATTCCGCCCTCCCCCCTGCCCCCCCCCCCCCCACCTCAAGCTGACACTCGGCACCGGGCAGCATATTTTGAATGGCTGCTTGGCATAAGAAGTGACAGTGCTGCACTAGGGGAAGGCTGCAGAGCCTCTCACCTGAAAAAGTGGAAGGCACGTGGGTACCCACTAAACACGGGTTTGCGACCCACTTTTGGGTCACGACCCACCAGTTGAGAACCAAGGATGCAGATCATTAGAAGATTGAAAGAGCCACACAGTTTGGATACGTCCACTAAGAATTTTATTTTATAAGATTCCAAAGCAATGTGTTCCGGGGGCTCAAACCTCCACCTTCATCAGGGCTTGTATGCCGCCAGTGAGTTACAAAGCAAAATGGATAGCACAAACAAATCCAGCTTGCCAAACTTGAGGTCAATCGGGCGAGCCGGATTCTTTGG